ACAAATCAGATTCCCTCCCTGAGCCCAAAATCTCCATCTCTGAAATGAAAGGATTTCGCTAAATTGGTGCTTTTTTTATTTTTATTATTGGAGTATAGTTGCTTTACAATGTTGTGTTACTTTCTGTTGTACAGTGAAGCAAATCAGTTCTACATATACACACAGCCCCTCTTTTTTAGATATCCTTCTCACTTAGAGCAATGAGTAGAGCTGCCTGTGCTGAACAATAGGTTCTCATTATAATCTATTTTATACATAGTAGTGTATATATGTCAATTCTAACCTCCCAATTCAGCCCACCCCATCTCCCTACAAGTCCCTTGACAGAGGGATCTGCCAATGGAGAGAGAAAAAGTTTACTTAATAAAACAAGGCTGAAAGATACAAGCATGTGGTTTAGAAAGTATGGGCGGTGGAAGTACTCATGATGAGCACGCCAAACCAGAGAAAGGAGCTCTGAATCTAAGACTCAGCTCGGCTAAAATCTTGTTACAGGACCTTAGGCAAGTCAGAGACTCAGGATCAAGATTCTGGGAGCCTTTGACATCCTCTATGTCATCCTTCTGCTCCTCTCCCCATCTCATAGATGGAGAGACTGAGGTTCAGAGGAAGGAAGGTCATGCCTTCACCAAAGTCACAGCCAGTAAGGTAAAGCCAGGATTTGAACCTCAGACCCAGTAAAATGATTTCCACACTCTGTACATCAGTATTATGAAGTACAAGGTAAGTGTTTAGACCCGTGCCTCTAAGTTATCTTCCAGCTGATGGATAATTATTGCTCTCTTCTCTGGACCTGGAAATCTCATGAAAACATTAGTTTGGTTTTGGCAAAGATCATTCCAGCTGCTCCTCAGTCCCAGCCCAGTCCCACAAGAACAAGGCAGAACGAAGGTCTGAAAGGATGAGAGATGTTGCTATTAATCTTATGTAGCACAGCAACTGGGAACTGCAGGCCTTGAACTAGATTTCACTGTGTTGGCTATTACTCTCCTGTCCTCCTGCATATTCATCCTGCATCTGTCTTCTCTTTATTAATGTTCCCAACTATGCACAGTACACAGCCAGTTAGGAACTCATCCTTCGCTTCCTATAATTCACTGGATTAGAAAAGGACAGGAGGAAATAGTGGTGATGTCAGGGTCAAGAAGAACTGCAAGGGGACCACAGACTCCGGGCAAGCACAGAGAGCAGAGGCAGCCAGAATCCTCGATCCCGTGCTTCACAGAATGAACGAAAGCACCTCATATCCCTGAGTCGGCAATGCGATTGGCTTTGCCTGAAAGACAACGTCCTTTTAAATGTTGGGAAGAGAAAGGACATTTCACATATAGAGATTCCTCTCCTAAAACAGCAACGAAGGAGTCAGAAGAAAGAATTCTAGCCCAGGATCTGCCACAAATACCTTAGACAAATCAGATTCCCTCCCTGAGCCCAAAATCTCCATCTCTGAAATGAAAGGATTTCGCTAAATTGGTGCTTTTTTTATTTTTATTATTGGAGTATAGTTGCTTTACAATGTTGTGTTACTTTCTGTTGTACAGTGAAGCAAATCAGTTCTACATATACACACAGCCCCTCTTTTTTAGATATCCTTCTCACTTAGAGCAATGAGTAGAGCTGCCTGTGCTGAACAATAGGTTCTCATTATAATCTATTTTATACATAGTAGTGTATATATGTCAATTCTAACCTCCCAATTCAGCCCACCCCATCTCCCTGACGTGGTGTCTGTATGTCTTTTCTCTACATCTGTGTCTCTATTTCTTCTTTGCAAATAAATTCATCTGTAAAATTTTGTCTAGATTGGTTCTCAATGCCCCCTCTGTCTTCGATATTCTGACCTCTCCTTATAGGTCACTGACTCAATCCCAGAAAAGTCAAACAACTGAAGAGGAACCTCTTTATATGGCTAGTTGAGAAGTTTACCAGAGCCTCTAAAACTGAGACTGAGATTATGGAGCAGAAAAACATAGAGGAAAGTGGACTTTTTTGATTTCTAACTAGAAAATGAATGTTGCTAGGGTAGACACAACCAATGCATAAATGTTCAATCACAGTCCAATCTAAAATTCAAATCATAAACTGCCTTTCAGGTATGTAGAATTAAAAGCTAAAAAAAACAACAATTTTCACACTAGACTCTCTATGACTTTGGAAAAGTAGCAGCAGAAGGAATAAAGAGCTGACCAAGAAATAAAATCATAGCAATTAACATTAGGACATTTGACTAGAAATAACACCATGACCAACTGGTCTAACTCTATCTATTGTCAGATGCTGAAATAGACCCCAAAAAGGGAAAATGACCTGCCCAAGGTGACACAGTCAGAGTTGGGAGCAGAAATAGATTCTCAAGACTCCTGGTTCATAGAACATAACCCATAATGCATTACTTCACTCCTGCAAACAATGAGATTCTATTCAGGTAACTAAGAACATAATTTCACTTATAACTACTGTCTTTAACTCCACCTCAAATAACAATAGCTGATTTATTTGATTTAAGGCAGACTAGAGTTGTTTCCATCAAATTATAATAACCAATTCACTCTAGCAATAGAGACAAGTCTGTGAGAATTAATTGGGCATTATTCATACTCGCTAATGAATCATCCCATGGAAAACAAGGATAATCAACGGTCTACCAAAGGCCAGAAGCTTGTTCTTACTCAAGTAAGATCTTCCCTGTTAAAGAACATTGGGTATCAGCTCTAAATAGTAAACAGGGTATACAGTTTCAGATTCCATGAAGTACAGCTTTAAATAGATTTGGTTTGGAAGTGGGACAGGGAACACACCGCAGTCAGTGGATCAACGTTGAAAGCCGAGAAAAACAATGAACACACTCATTAAGTGGGTACCTGTTGACACAGCTACCGTCAAGCCTAATTATTTATTTAAACTGTTATTCTTTCTTCATTACTGACACTGACATCAATTATTACCATAAGATTATTTTAAATTTCTGTAGTGTGCTCTCAGAATATTTACTTCTCTATCATCCAAAGGCTATTTGAGAATATCCTTCTTTCCTCACCAAATCCACTTAAATAATTTAAAAAGATAGATGAATATATAGATAGATAGATAACAGATGACTGATAATAGATAGATGATAGATAATACATAGATGATAGATATATATGAAATTCCTTTCTCAAGAGCAATTTTTCATAACCTTTCCAGCTTTGCTTAAACTCTTCTTTGTACATTCAAATGGGTTTCAGTGGGGAAGCAGGGGCATAGTTAACCACTTTTCAAAAAGTATTTTATTAATATTTAACAATTTGCATTTGGAGGAAAGTTAATATAAAAACTGTAGCTTCTAAATGAACAAATAGATCTCTGCCTAACAGAGCTACCAAAAATTATGCTATCACCTGTCTACAGTACATTCTTTTCTGATGTGCTATCCCTGAAAATACATGAAGTACATAAGAAAGGATATTTTTGCAGGGGCATTTTATGGACTAGAGAGGAACAAAAAGATGAGCAGGAGCCATTCCTATATTTTTGGCTACCATCTTGTTTTTTTATTAACTCTTCTTGTAGAAACTAGTATAAAATCTAAACACCACATAGGGCGTATAGGTCTGATCTGCTCATAGAAGAGTTTCACAGTCTATATGTTCCCTCACTGGCCTTGCTCATACATGATCTCTTCTTATTCGATGTATATGGTGAGTGTTAGCTTTGAAAACCATATTAATGTGACACCAAAATTTTCACTCATTTCTAAATTGCAACTCCTGCAAATATGAGGCAGTACCAACAAACCTCAATTTGTTCAAAGCCCTGTGTAATTAAAATTATGTTTAAATTATTATATATAAAATAGATAACTAATAAGGACCTACTGTAAAACACAGAGAATTCTCAGCACTCTGCGATGGCCTATATAGTAAGAGAATCTAAAAAAGAATAGATATATGTGTATGTATAATTTATTCACTTGGCTGTACACTTGAAATTAACAGAACATTGTAAATCAACTAGACTCCAACAAACTCAGGGAAAAAAAAGTACGTTCAAGATCATGTAAAGAAAATACTAAAGAGATAATAAAAATATTCATCAGAAGAAATGTTTACAGAACTTTAAAGACTGATATCAAATCTTCCACAAAGGTTCTATGCTATAGGACCTGCAGTTAGGAGCACCATAGCGACTACTTCACCTCTTTTTGGCTAAGACTTCCAGAAGATTACAGGGAACACAGGAGAGTTAGCTGGGAAGTACAGATTATCAATTGGTTATCTGCAGAAGAAAACACACATCTTGCAAATTTTAAAACTTTTTATGCTTTCTTAAACACATAAAACAAATTTTATGCTTTCTTCTTTTTATTTTAAACTGGTCTCCATTTTCTTGAAAAACTCAAGAAGAATGAAATCTTCTGCCAAAGTTATAATTCATTTACACTGGTTCCCCAAGAGAGTGGAATGCAGGTACTATAGGTCCTGGGTTTCAAAAAGCTAACTCATTTCCTGTATTTTTAAGGGTTTTGTTGCTGTGTTAGCCTTCGATTATGTGCTTTAGAGATGTTTCCGGAGCAGGTAAGAGGCAGTGACAGACCCGACTAGTAGCTTGACTCCTTCAGAGCCAGGTAACAGTGGCAGCATAGTGCAGTGAAAAATGCACCCCATCAATGACCAGGAAAGTGGAGAAAGCCCTCCTGCTACATACTAGCTGGGGATATAAGAAGACACTAGATAAGAACATCCTTGGACATGGCATACTATAGACACTTTAATACTTCCATGTTACCAAAATACTTCTCTGCTTCAGGTAGGAAGCTTTAAAAAGCTGGAATTAAAAAGGAAATCAAAAGAAGGAAACATAAAAGGGGAAGCAGTTCACTGCCTTGGCCATTTTTCAGGTTTTGGTGTTCCTGGAATACCTTCGTATTTCTTCTGCTGGGAGTGAAATCTACCTTAAACTCTATTGGTTAAGATGCCTATTAGCATTTCATAAATGTGATGACACCAGGCCTCTATTACCTTGGACAGCTCGTTCTTGGAATGATCAGTGGACACAAGGGTCAGCAAACTGCAATGGTAGTGTCTGCAAACAAAACAGGGAAAAGTTAGTCTTAGTTTGCAAGCTCTATGTATTCATTAATAATCATAAACTCTCCTATCTATACAGCAGTTTCTGGTTTCAGAAAACACTTTCACATCCATTATCTCATTTCAGTCCATGTCAACCTGGTAAAGAAGCAGGAAGAGATTATTCGACCACTTTATATGTGAGGAAACAAAAGCTCACAGAGGACAAGGAGGTTAAGAAAGGAATTAACATCTCTATCAGGGTTAAAGTCACAAATATTATTTTCCTCATTTTACAGATGCGAAAACTGAAATTCAAAAAAGGTAGATAATTTGCCCAGGACTGCACAGTACAATACATGGCAGGACGAGAGTTTGGACCCTCTGAGCGCTGCCTATTCAGCCAGCGGCCTTTCCTTTACATCCAGAATATTAGGCTGGGAAAACATGAGGACAGACAACTCATTGACTTGATCCACCAGACTTAGTGAAGGAGGAAATAATGAGATAAAAACCAGTTATTTGATTGACATGAGGAAATGGGGAAAACATACAGGATTTAGAGCCAGTCAGACCTGTCTGCCTCTTACCAATGGCCTTAGGCAAGTTACTTAAACCCCAAGTGTCAATTTCCTTATATGTAAACGAGACAATATAATACCTACTTCATAGCCAAAGATGAGTTAAACTTTTGGGGAGAAGATTTTCCTCCATTATTTCATATCTATAAGCATTGATGGCGTGGTCAACAAAATGGTATAAAAAAATTTCTTCCTATGAGCACATGCTTATATGATCAAAGAATAATGTCCTAAGCACACAAGGATAGAGGGTATCTCTGGGTTGGGTATTTCTTTGATTCCTGTCTCTAGTTTTAAAATACCACAGTATTTATCTGTGTTAATCTACATGACTTCACCTACCAGCATCACAAAGAACTTTTGTTCCACGTGACAAAGCCTAAAAACTGAAGAATCAGGTATCCCCTCAACCCAAAAAGCAAAAGAAACTGCTTTAGAGGAAAGCCTGCAGATTTATCACAGGTCAGTCTAAAGCCTGTGCCTGTATCATGCTTTAGGTTCAGAGAGATGGAGCTTCCAACAGGACTGCAAGAACAAGGGGTCAGTTTTAACACAGGGATAGATTTGTTGAGGAGTAAAGACTTTGGCCACCTCATGCAAAGAGTTGACTCGTTGGAAAAGACCCTGATGCTGGGAGGGATTGGGGGCGGGAGGAGAAGGGGACGACAGAGGATGAGATGGCTGGATGGCATCACCGACTTGATGGGCATGAGTTTGAGCAAACTCCGGGAGTTTGTGATGGACAGGGAGGCCTGGCGTGCTGCGATTCATGGGGTCACAAGGAGTTGGACACGACTGAGTGACTGAACTGAACTGAACTGAACTGAGAGATCTCTCGGAAGTTTTACTGAAATATCCCATTTTAATATAGGGGCTTAAATCAGATGATTATGAATACAGCATGGTTGATATGATATTCTGCAAGAAATTCTTGCCATATGCCACCAAAATTAAAATATTAATCATCTGTAATACTATAGTTTATAGTTTGAAAAATATTTCATGATCATGTTATCACAAATCATCCTTGACATAACCCCAGTGAAACTGTATTACCCCAATTTTACTGATGAGGAAGCCAAACTTCAAACATCACATGGTTAATATGAAACATATAAAAGTTTAACCTTGTATCTTGATCCCCAAACGAGTAAGGACCCTTCCACTACATGATGCAGTCTCCCATTTAGGAACACTCTATTTGGAAGGAAAGGTAAAATGAGCATATAACCTGTAAAAGTCTATTGTCAAGGGGCCAAAGCACATTTAGTACTGAGTCCTGCTTCACTAGCAAGTGAAAGGAGAGAGACTTCACATCTGTGGTCTAACCAGAAGGTGACACATTACTAAGCTGAGGCATAGGAGTGTTCGATGCAGGGTTACCATCAACACTTTCTCAGCTCTCCCCGGTGAAGTTTCAGAGATGTGACATCCTTGCACAAGCTATCGAAACACAAGCCACAGAAACAATACAAGGCTGTACCACTGAATTTTCGTAAAGGGGTCTGCATCAGTAAGTTTCATCTCACACTGTAGAAGAGCTGAAACCTTCTAGCTAAGTTCACCATCCTCTTCTCACATGGTTTGAGTGGCACGTGTCCTCAGGAACTCGAGTATTTTCTGATGCAGTGGAGTTCTCCTCTAGACCCATAAAGACATCTGGGACAAGTGACAAATCCAACTCTAGCATCTTAGTAGTGAAGTCAGTTATCCTTGGCTGCCTCTGTGGATTTTATGACTGCTGACCCAAAAGCTGGTGGGTTTGCATCCTTTGCCAACTCACCCATCCCATCACTCTCAAGAAAACCCTTCTCATTTCCAGAAGCAATTTCAACCAAAACAAAACAAAAAACTTGTATGATCAACCTCTAACTTAAAAAAATTTAACACATTAATTAGGATCAAAGCAAAACAAGAACCAACAAACCTAGAGCTAGGACTAGTATAAAATAATTCATCATTTCTACTGTATTTGGGGGAGAAACTGGAAAGAACAATGGAGCCAAAGGGGGGAAAAACAGAGTGAATGGAAAGAAAAATGATGAAGAATAAGTCAAAAAGAAGAGAGGAATGGGAGATCAGGAGAAATGAAGAGAGAAGAGATATAAATAGATTTTTCCAACAACCATGGTAGCCTCTGGATCGACCACTCCACCCCTGAACAATTTTAGACAACATAACTCTAGGTGGTGATCTTGACATTATAAAGAAAAATTCCAATCAACTGGCATGAGAATCACTAAAGCCAATGTATATATACTAAGTCACATCAGTCGTGTCCAATTCTTTGTGACCCTATGGATTGTAGCCCACCAGGCTCCTCTGTCCATGGGATTCTCCAGGCAAGAATACTGGAGTGGGTTGCCATTTCCTCCTCCAGGGTATATTCCCGACCCAGGGATCGAACCCATGCTTCCTGTAGCTCCTTCATTGCAGGCAGATTCTTTACTGCTAAGCCACCAGGGAAGCTCAGGCCAATGTATAGATGCCCCTTAATATGTGATACTTTACAAGTGCTGCAGTACAAATGAGCAGTTGACAGAGCCTTGTAAAAATGCTCTAAGTGAATAAACTGAAGTAAGTCTTCAGTCCTGTAATGCCAGACGTTTATTCTGAAAAAGGGGTGCTATTTTAAAAAGAACAATAGACTAGGGACTGAGGATCGTGGTTCTGGTTTTAGTGCTACAATTTCCAAATCTTTTCAATTAAAAGTTCTATGAGATATACATTTTTCTGCTTCTCTTTCCATGAATCTTGACCATGGCTATCCCTAAACCACTGTGAAAAAGCCAAACATTATTTTTGTGCATTTGGATAAGTTTTATGAATTGATAAAAGTGGTGGTGAGACGGTAACTTGTAAATTAAACAACATCATCACCTTAAACATGATTATTAGGAAATCTGATCCCAAAAGTGATCGAAAAGTGAGATCAGGCCAAAGGTATTAATGACAAACGTGGAATGTCCTCCACTCCCAACATCAAATCCCACATGAAGAACACTTTTAAATGATACCCTAAGACACTTATCAAGAATACAACATTCTCCGTGGCTTATGAACGATTTGGTTGTCTCATTAAAGTAATGTTTGCCAGTATTTAATTGCTTCCCTCCCTGATTTTAATTTCCTCAGCTGTCAGCATCTATCAAAAACACTGAGATCTTCTGACATCCTGGCTGATTGTGTTGAAATTAATCAGATTTTTAAAAAGTAAATTGCTTTGGCCTAAAGGTAATGCTCATCTTCTTCATGTGATATTTATAAGGGTTCTATCAATGGAACTTATAATCTAGAAATTAAATCAGAGGCTTTAGGAATCCAAAGCAAAAATGTAAGTAGCTCACAAATTTCCAGCTCTGGACTTCAGACCAGTACTTTAAAAAAATCCAATCAACAAGTGTTTATTGAACATACAGCACTTGGCAGCAGTTACTACTGGGTAAACGGACGGAAGGAAGACGTTTAGCTTAGAGGAGGAAATGGCAACCCACTCCAGTACTCTTGCCAGGATAATCTCATGGACAGAGGAGCCCATGGGGTGACAACAGTCGGACAAGATTAAACAATTGAGCACACAAGACATGTGGCTGCCTCAGAAGGTTTAAGAAACAAGTGCAAATTAATTACTTAAGGTGACTTGACCTTGACAAAGTAGTTGACAATCTGGTCACTCAAAAAGTACATTTATTGTGTTTTCAGTTGTGATCAGATATATACATTATTCTTTCACATGAATTAATGATTTTATTCTTCACCTAATCCAATGAGGTGAAATAGTTAGTAATAGCTGCAATATCTCCATTTGGAAAGTGACAAAGCTTAGCCTCAGAGTGGAAAAGAGACTCTTTTTTAGATACCTGGTAATGGGCAAAGCTGGTTTGTGATCTAAATAAAATCAGACAATACAGCATAATCACTTTGAAATAATGAGAGAAAAAATTCTTTGCAAATCCTCCACACATAATTATTCAGTGCTAATTCTTCTCTAATATCTACCAGTAACGGTGTTTAAGATACTCACTGAGGAAACCCACAAGCCGTTCTTTAAGAAGTAAATGAAATGATGGAAGAAAAACACTTTGTCAAGTGTCCTACCATCATGAGATTATTTTTATGTATGTCATTATTCCTACTTTGGAATATAGAAATATGCATTCATGCAGTAATTAGGTCCCAAACACTGGTTCTAAGGCCCCTAAACTAAACAGGAAAAAAAAAAGGCAAACTGTGCATGTATGCAATTCTGGGAAGCAGGGATGGAGAAGCCAATGATAACACACAGAACTTAAAAGCTGGCTTTATAACCAAACATAATGAAACCCTAGTATGGGTCTTATATTTCCAGTGGACTCTAAGCTCTTACCAAGCCTTTTAGTATCTCTCATGCTATAAAGCTTTTTCTGACCCAAAAGTGTTTGATGAAGCAGGCTTT